ATCAGCAACCAATGAGCGAAGATGCCGCTCCCACGTCCACTCTTCTCTGCCTCGCTCGCGGATCACCTTCACCTGCTTCTTCAGGTCCTCGATCGTAGCTTCAAACTCCTTTATGCGGGCCTGCTCGAGCTCAGCTATAAGAGTCATCGCCTGGGAGATGGGGAGCACTGGACAGTTCCCCCGTAGTCGAACACGCAGCTTGCCATGAAGAGGGTGCACAACCGTCAATCGAGACGGGGACCAGGACACCTTGCACCCCAACAATCGCACCAGCTGTCCCATTGGGACGATAGCCTCGGATTCTCCTCCTCCAAGAAGAGTTCCTCCAGCTGTCTGCTGAAGATGGCGTTCTTCGCCTGTTGCCAAAGTTACCGCAACCGTCTTAATCTGATCTCCTCGATCGCCTTCATGGATGGCGCGATAGGCATGGCTCGCCCCACTATCAAGCAGGGCCTCTTGCTCAGGACCTGGCTCACCAATAGCCACCGAAGTAGAACCCTTGATCATTCGGTGGCCGCACTGAAATGGCTTTCAGCCTCCGAACTTCATCAAGCTGTTGCTGGATCAAGGCGAGCGGGTCCAACTGCGGCTGAACCGGTGGTGCCTCCGCCTCGGTCTGTGAGGTGAAAGCCTTCAACATCTTGTTGGTCTCGTTCAAGATCTCAGTCATCTTAGCCGCATCGATCTTGTTGTTGGTACCTCCCGAGGAGGCAGCACTGCTTGTAGTGGCTGACGATGAAGGAGCCTGACCAGACGAAGCTGCACTTGCCTTCGCGGGAGAGGGCGCTATTGCCGGAGGGGGAGCAGATGTAGTTCCCAACGCCGCTGCCGTAGCCTTTGGTGGCGGCGGTGGCCTTTCAGGCAAGGCCTGGTCTCTCGTGCTGCATTCCTTCGCTCTGTGGTGCTTGGAGCCACACAACAAGCACCTCTCGCCCCGATTGAGGCCGGTCCAGGAGTGAACGAACGAGCATTGCTTCCCATTCCGGCATCCACCATCCGTTCCAAACCACTGGCACGGCTTCTTAGGGCTTGGAGCCCCGGGTTTCGCCTTCGCCTTGGCGCCAGCTCCAGACTTCACCGAAGGTTGCACGCCTTTCAAGGATGGAGCAGCGGGTGCCGTACTGGTAGCAGTCGTTGTAGGGGCCCCATGAGGAACCGCCGGCACGTTCTTCTTGACACCTCCTCCAAGCTGTTCCAACTCTGCAAGCAGGTGTTGAAGAAACCTCAGCACATTCGCCCGGGACGGCCTCGAGTCGATCTGCAGCTCCGTCTTCGCCAAGGATACACGGAACTTAAAGTCCCCGAACTGCTCCGCCGTCTTCTTCACAATGTTGCACAAAGAGCGAACCTGCAGCGACTCATCAGGAAGGGCTATGTTGAGGTCGGCTGCCCTTTGCAATAGGCGGTACCATCTCCGGATCGCCACCACTGCTTCTGCCGGGCCCTCTCACTGACATCTAGCTGCCTCAACAGCTGTGCGCGGTCCTGCGCGCCACCCGGCTGGAAAACAACCATCAGCCTGAAAAGGATCTGGTGCAGCCCCTGCACCCGATGAGCTATTAACTCATCTCGTACCCCTTTGGGGAGTGAGCTCAAAACGAGCGAGGCCACCTTCCGTTCCAGCTTCTTGTACTTGTCGGCCTTGAGCTCGGGCGTAAGGGTGGCCTTCACACTGAGGCGCTTCATCGGCGACAGCGACTGATACTCGGCATACGCAGTCTGAGCCACACCAAGCGTCTGCTGCCACCATTCTGCCGCCCCTGAGGCCAAGCTTCCAACTTGTTGCTCCGTAAGGTACAGGTAATCCTGAAAATCCGTGGCCCCGGACTCCGGCGTGTACTCCGGCAACTTCGGAAGCTCCTGCACGCCCTTCAGCTCCAGGTCCAGCGTCTCACCCGCTTCTGTCTCAGGAGTACCTGCTGCAACTGCGACATTCCCGTTATCAACACATCCAACGGGTTGGGCTGGGAGGCGCTCGGCATGGTAGGCGGCGCCGCGGAAAAGGCCACACCGTCATCCCTCTGAGGGTCCTGCTGCTTGGGTCCATCCGGGGCTGTCAGGCCTGGAGGGAAGTCCAACTCATAGTCCCCAAACGTAGGCCCTGACTCCGCAGCCCTCGCATCGTAGGCCGGTTCGGTTGACCTCACACCACAAAGATCTCCATCACCCAAGCCCTTGAGCAAGTCATCGGCTCCACGCCTAAGGTAACGACCCCTTTGAAGAGCATTGGCAGAGCCAGCACGAACACCACGGCCTGGGCTTCCAGATACGGTTCGCCCTCGAAGCTCGGGAGTGGCACTCCTTGGAGACGACCTTCCGACACGCTCTTCACGTCTATGCTTGGGGCCCACTGTGACCTGTGAATCACGCTCATCAAAGCTAAAAGGGACCCGATCACCTCCAAGTACGCCACGACTTGTGTGCTGAGCCCGACTGCTATCCGGACCATTGTAGGCCCGATCACCCCCAAGTACACCACGACTTGTGTGCTGAGCCCGGCTGCTATCCGCCAAACCATTTTGCAAATAGGCCCGATCACCCTCAAGTACACCGCGACTTGTGTGCTGAGCCCGACTGCTTTCTGGTAGAACATCTTGTAAATAGGCCCGATCACCCTCAAGTACACCATGACTTGTGTGTTGCTGAGCCCGATTGCTTTCAGGTAGTGCTTCTTGTATATAGGCCCGATCACCCCCAAGTACACCAAGACTTGTGTGCTGCTGAGCCCGATTGCTTTCTGGTAGTGCCTCTTGCGTGTAGGCCCGATCACCTCCAAGTACACCAAGACTTGTGTGCTGCTGAGCCCGATTGCCTTCTGGTAGAGGATCCTGTATATAGGCCCGACCACCTCCAAGTACACCAAGACTTGTGTGCGACTGAGCCCGATTGCCTTCAGGTAGTGGACCTTGCAGGTGGATCTGGTCGTCCACATGCACCTCCGGAGTCGTTGCAGACGGAGCCTCGCGTACGTCCCTGCTTTGACTGAGCTGCATCCTCAGTCGTCGAATTTCTTCGCGTAGATCCTCGAGACCTTGTTGCTGACTTCGAAGGGCATCCTGAACTTGACGTTTCACCTCAGCCTCTACCATTTCCCTCGGAATAGACGCCGAAGAAGCATCATCTGTCCCCGTAGACGCTCGCACTCCCCCATGCAGTAGAGGAGCCTGCCGCGGCCAAGCTTCCATGGTCCTCAGAGCCCCTCTTCCGAACAAAGGAGGATCTGATTCAGGCTGCTCCTGAGGACGAGCCGGAGTTCCCACCGAAGGAGCCGGAGGGGTACTTGGCCTTGAAGCCGTATGTTGCACTTGTTGCTGTACCACATAGTTCCCAGACGAGCCAGTAATCTGTCGCCTCGTAGTGGTTGTAAACTCCATCGCCGTATGTTGTCGTAGAAAATCCCCCAGACGGTGCATCCACCTCATCGCAGCCGGTACTTCGGCCTCGGAACGATTGGCTTCAGCAGCCTGCGGTTGGGTTGGCCAGACCTCTCCTAACAGGCCCGAAGTGCTTCCCTGAGCCTGTAGCCCCAACGGCGAATATGGCAGCGACTGCATGTCCACTTCCGGAGACGCCGGAGAATGCCGAAGCACCCCTTTGGGCAGCATCGGCCGTGCCCTCTGCTGTCTCTCGTAGTCAGGTCCTGCAGTTTCGCCATCCATGTGTGCTACAGCTGCGTCCACGCCCTGCGGAGGGGTATTCGTAGATTGGGCTGGCATAACCTGTTGGTCGTTCGAACCAGGTTCGGGTCTCGTGGAGGCCATAGCACCGGAGGCAACTCTCCTTCTTCGTAAAATAATCTTACACAAACACCCGGCGACCCGAAACGGGAAGCCACAAAGTGAAAGCCCTGGACCCCTTGAAACCCTCCTTCAAACCCCAGGGCCACAGAACAAGGAACCTCTCAAGAGGAACCAAAAGGGAGCCGCCTAACAACGCACAAAGCATGCTAGCCTCAGCGGACTCCAACATCATTTCTTGAGCCATTGCACGGTCACAGCCGGAATATTCGTTCGCATCCGTAGGATGGCTTCTGTGCACACATCCTTGTTACGACACGATCTATACACGAGTGCATATCAGGCTGCACAACTGCGTCACATCAGCACCGCCAGTTAAACACCAACATATTTCTACGCAGACGCAATGCTGCAAAGGACTCGATGTCGGTGAGCTGCCGGCTTGGGTTACAAAACTTCCAGCTTCGATCAGCAGCAGCAGCTTGCCGACGTGCACTTTCTCCACATGCACTTGCACGACATGTGCCTGCCCAGCATGCATTGGCGCACCTCATGAAGAATCAGATGAGGAGGCCTTTTGACCCACAAGCTCCATCACGCTGCCGGTATAGTCGCCCCAAGAGGCGAGTCCCATCCTCTGTATATCGCAAGCCCTTTGTGGAGCCTTTCTGTGGGCAGGTTTCACAGCTAATCGAGACAAGAAGGCAAGCAACCAAATGAACCAGGGAGAGCTGAAGATCGCGACTCGTGCTCCCACAGGGGCTGTTGTTCACATCAGGGTTTGTGACTGCGTGACGGAGCGTGCTGAAGTGGCTGTGAAAGAACACGTGGCCCTGTGCTGAACACTGTACGTTGTGGCTCCAGCTTGCCCGGTGTCATGTTGCAGGTGCTGCTTGCAGGTCAGTGCACCGACAGATTTAGCAACTCTTAACGTGGATTCGCCATGCACGACGCTACTCCAGTGGACCACTCAATGGAGGCGTTTGGTTTTGCATGTTCTTATGGTTGATTAAAAGAAATTATGTAGAAATTGTTTTCGTCTCAAAATCCTGATGCTTGAGTCTGCACGTACCCGCACGTAGCAACCATACGCTTCCGTTGTGGGATCCGCTCACGCTTGAGAAGAACAAATTCAATCTATGTTGCAGGATCATTTCCTCGGAAAAAAGGACGTCCGCTCCACAAACTCATTCCGATGACACGGCGACCAACCAGATCAACGTTGTCGAGAGTGGGAACTATTTGAGCCATGTTCAAAATCCTCCCTCATTCGGTGTCCGATAAGGCCCGGCTTACGTTTTGGCTTACGGGAACCTATGGGCATACCAAAACAGCGTCGCCAGCATACAGCTAAATTGCTTCAGTGACACACTCACTGCCACGCGCAGCAGACGGGTTTCATCTCCAAGGTTGTTGACTTGTATCCAGCTTGGTACTGAACCCGAGGGGCTGGAGGATGCCCGCAGCACATCAAGCTACATAGCAGCTACGTCAGCTACGTCCTGTTGCAAATACGAGCGCAGGGTTTTGGCATGTTTTGGCCATGGCCATGGTCGGAGTCTTGCCTGTGTCTGGCGGGCCACGCGGTAGCCTGCCAAGGCCATTCAGATGGAAATGGCTCTCACGACAACACTTGCCAGCAACACATGTGGGCAGAGTCTTCTTGACCATCATGCGTTCGATCATTCGGGGGGGATGTCCTCAAATAGCACGTCGGCACGCCATGAAGGAACCTCGGAGCGATTCGGGCAACGTTCTAGTTGGTGCAGCCTTGCGCGCGACAAGTTTATCCAACGATGATGCCTGTACCTCACCCCCCCTTAACCCCACTTTGGAAGCGGCTCAGTGCGCAAACTTGAATCTGGATGCGGGCACAAGGGAGCAGGAACTCAGACTGAGGAGGGGCGACGGTCAGCAACGTGCACAATACCGCAATCACTGATTTCAGGTTCCGAGGAGAATGTGATTGAACCCAGCCAAATTTTCATGGCATCATAGGGGACTGATCTCACACAACCACACAAACAAACATCATGTCCGGCCTGTGCTGTTGCTGCCGCCGAAGGCGCTCCGAGGCCAGACGTAAAGGTAAGGGGATGCAAGGCCAACATTGGCCGTTTCTTGCAACAAGTTGCCAGACATGAGCAGCAAGTAAGCAACTGATCTCGTTGTGGCTCGGCCCCATGATGCCCGACTGATGTCCATGAAATTGAACCTCAAATTCATCTGGAAGGCTCCATCTCCGAATTCACTTGATCCCCCTGCAGCCTCACAGACGCTTGCAAAAGGTGTGTCAGAAAAGACATGCTGTTTTGGATTGCTCGTAAGGCAGTGCTTGCTGATTTAGGGTTTGAGGTTTAAGGGTTGGGGCATCACCTCCAACTTCATTCATAGCCACGGCGAGTTGACTTTTCCCTGTGCAGAGTAAGGGGTGTGCATATGCACTGCCGTGAAAGCTGACGCAGTTGCAGCGCTCAGCAACACTCGGAAAAGTCTTAGTGAGTTAGTGTTTAGAAGCAGTGAAGGACTCTTTAACCTAGCGCAAAGCATCAAGCGTCAGGCGTCAGATATTTACGTGAAGGGGCAGGCATCAGGGTCCAGGCTTTTCGCTGAGTTATCGGCTTCAGGTAGTCTTTGTCTTAAAACTCCGCCCCTCCGAGGTCTAAGGCAGCAAATGCAGGGGCATTAGGCTTCAAGGCGAAGCATCCAGCCTGAAGCTTGCGAGCTTCACACCCTAAACCCTAACCTTTAGACCTTTAACCTAAGCTGGGGCGATCCGTCCGCTCTTCTTGATCGCACTATGCGGCTTGCACTTGTGAAGTGAGTTCTTTCCTTCCCAGCTTCAGGCTTGTGGACAGTACAAAGCATTTGTTTAGGGTTTAGGGTTGCCTTGGCCAGGTTCATGGTGCATCATCGGCCTTGATTCAGATGAGATGAAGCGAGCCATCACGAAGACCCTGAATCCCAAACCCTAAGACGACCCCCAACCCTAAACCCTGCAAACTCTACACCCTCGTGCACTTGTCAATCAAGTTCAAAAGGGTTTCCTGACCCGTTACATGGAGCTCAAAGGCAACACCAAAAACAAGCGCACACACGCAAGCCAACTTCGCTCAAAATTCAGTCTAAACTCAGGATTCGAATCCAAAAGAACTTGTACCCTAAACCCTAAGCTCCCCCCCCTCCGCATTCCTGGCACAAGGCAGGCTAGAGATCCGAGCGAATGGTCATTTAGGGTTTCGGGTTAAGGGTTTCCCTTTACTTTATGCTTGTTTGAGTGACGTGTTGGGCTGGTTTCGCATCTTGAACTTCCTGCTGGCGTGAGAAAGCGAGTGCTCAAACCCACAGCCAAAGTCGCAAACACGCGGTAGCTGCAGCGAGATGTTGATATGTTCTCATGGTGGGGCCTTCTGGATTTTGGTGTGCGGCTTTGTGTTCGCATCAACTTCTTGCAATGCTTACGACTTCCAATATTTCCTGCCGCAAGAGTTCTTATCGGATCTTCCCTTGAGGGAAGGTAGCTTGGCTCTGGAGGTAATCCAGCTCATTCAGAGCATTCAAATCCCAGATGCCCACCACAAGAAGGTCGAGGAAGGAACCTTCAGCGAAACGTATGCAGACTCAGACTTCAATTCCGCTATCTATCGTGAACAGCGGAAAGTTTGCACGCAGATGCCTGGCACGTTCAGACCATTTTGTTTGCTTCTCTTTCGCATGCCTTTGTTGGTGTTCTCAAACTGAATGCAAGTTTCAGGTACCGCCAGGAGGGAACCCACATGGAACGCCCCATGTGTGCGAGCGCCCTGGTGTGAAAGCGCCCCGTGCCGAAATCTTGGCGCCTGCAAGTAGTCGCAGCTCGGCTCCATGTGCGTCAAGCCCCGACTATGCTTCAACCTCAGACCCTACACTTTGTATCCCCAAATACAGGGGACCCCAAATGCATAGATTCCTAACACTTGCAGGATCCGTTTTTGGCGTTTGCGGGGGAAGGGGGAATTGAAGGCCAACATGAGACCGATCGCCTAAGCTTACTCGCCCCAAACCTCGTGCAACTACTTCATTATCATGCAGGTTCATTAGCGAATCTCTTGAACCCTCGACCTGGGACGTTGAATTGAAGGGATTAGGTCCTCAGCAACATCGCAGGTGAAGTGGGACGCTTCGCGCTGCAAGCGCAGTTTGAGTTTGATATTCCGGGCCACCTCGAGATCAAGACGCGTATCTGCTTTGGTTTTTGCTGGCACGAATCTGTTGCTTTCCTGTTCATAGCCCGGTTTGTTCTCTGGGACATGCGGCTTATATGTCACGAAGCGAAATGAACCCTAACCTTAAATCCCAAATCCCTATAACTTACTATAACTCTTATTCTGGTTCCGTCGCTGCCCGTGTTCCTCGAGAAGTCGGCTTCTTGCGCACTCGGCCAGCTCAGGTCTGCAGCAATCACCATGTCAAAATCACAGGCAGGGCTCAGGGTTTAAGATTTAGGGTTTATAGGGTTTAGGTTTAGGGATTTAGAGTGTAGGGTTTCAGGTTTTCGGGTATCGGCGGGGGTCGGGGGCCGCTTGGATTTTCAGGATGGGAGGTTAGCGCGTTCGCAGGCAGGACGTGGCCGAAAGATGGGGGTTTAGGGTCTTTAGCAGTTTTAGGGGTTTAGATCAACCTCCGGTCTGAGGCACAGTGGCAGTCAGCAGCCTCGTCGACGTCACGAATAATGCTGGAAAGCTGAAGATGTCGCCGCACACCCAGGCCTCGGAGAGATGTAGTGTGTAGGGATACGATTCCAGACAGAATCTAGGGGTGACATAGCATTGGTATTGAAGGTCGGATGGCTTTCGGGAGCAGAAGTATGTGTTGAGTGTCAATCACTCCCACTATCAGATATCCAGGTGTCGTGGCTGGATGGGCCTACGGTTCACGGTTGTCATCCCGATTTGCTGGTAAGACTTTTCGAGGATGTGCAGCCAGATCTCTCTGATGGAGTTCGGAGCTTGGTGAAGAACTATGTCGAGCAGAACCTGCAATCGCCGCTGAGCTTTGATCAAAACATCTCGATTCACCCCGGCTTGAACCTTACTTACACGCTTCGGCATCTGGAATTCGTTTATTCGGACGACCCTATGAACCAGAGCTTTGTCGTCGCACATGCAGCATGCACGGCATATGCCACGGCTCGCAACGGAAGCGTCCAGGCCTTTCCCGAAGCAAACGCCCCGTGGACCGGGCGGCACAGCCGGCTCCCCCTCAGTGACAGGTGGAACCGCGCGATGGGCGAAGGGCAGGAGCAGCTTGTCTTGCTTGGTGGAGCCCGGTTTAGCCAGGAGCTTCTGACAATGTTGGCAAGAAGCTTGCACTACATGGGCTTGCTCTATTCGGAGAATTCCACCCACGTCAAGGATGCGGTGCTGTACTCCACGATCGACTTCGACTGCCCGCAAGTGGACATTTCCCAAGCGCAGTCTGGGGTCCTCATGAGACAAAGGTCTCTTCACTTCCAGGCTCAATGCTTGGACGTGACAACGGCCCCTGCATCAAATTTCAGCTTGCTGAATGCGACATTCAGAGATGTGGTGGAGCAGATTTCAATCAAAGCCTACGTGCCCAATGATCACACAGCTGGGATTACGCTCCATGTTCTTAATGCAACATTGTCTGATGCAAATTTGACATCGTTCCACTCGAAAGCCTTCATGGGGCAGGACAGTCAGTTGAAGGCCCTTGCACAGCAGGCCATTCAGAACAGTATTCCGCTGATCAATGACGCATGGCTTTGTCAGGGGCCGCTCTTGCCGAATCCTCCCCATGACAAGCTGGGGCCCTCGACAACCCCTATGACCTCCATTCCCTAAAGGGGTGTGAATATATTGGGGGGAACAGTTGAACACGGCCATCTTTTTGCGCGGAAATTCTCGAACGAATACTTTTCGCAACAAAAAATCGTTTACCGAAAAATCGCTTTTCCCCAAAAGGTGATCTTCGCGGCTTTCGCACACAGTTGGTTTCGCAAAGCGTTTTTATACAAACGTGCTACCTTTCGCAAGAAGTCGTTTGCCGCAAAATATAGCTTTTCGCAACAAAAGGTCACTCGAAAGTCGCTTTTCGCAAAGACTCGCTTTCGGCAAAAAGTGACTTTCGCAAGAAGTGTATCCTTAACGGCACCCCGGGATGATCCTCCTGCCTGCCACGCTGAGGATCACCTGGACCAGACGCCGATCACCTTCTGCGGCGGTGGATCTTCGGCTTGCGCCCTGGTTCCCTTCGCTCCGCACCCGGCAGTCAGCACCGCGCTCCCGGCCGCAAGGAGATGTCAGGTAGATTTCCACCGTGCTCGAGGGTTGTGTGAGCCTAGGTGCCAACTGCGGGCGCTTCACATCCTGGCTACGTCGAAGTGTCCTGGCACTGCCAGTGCGGGCACCCAGCTGTCTACGACCCCTGCCTGGGCTTCCCATGCCCTGAAGTCCGTGCGAACGATCTGAAGCATCCGCTGGCAAGGCAACTGCGCAAGGGGAGGGAGGAGCCTGCACCCATGGTGCTCCAGCCCCGTCCAAGAAGCCAGCAGGAACCCAATGGCTCCTCCCAGTCTACAGCAGTGTGGGTGAGCATGTTTGGGAACAGCGAATGCAGATTTCTACCAGATGAGGTCATGAGCTTCGGTCGTGTGGGGGAGGGTGATTGCATTCAGAGCTCCGAGTCGGCCTTGACTCCAGCCTTCCAGTTGCTTCGGGACACGAGCGGCGGGAGTGGGTGGCAGCTCTCCCGTGGATGCACGGCAGATTGCTCCGCTTGCAGCCTGATCAATTCGATGCCATTAAGGCGGTGTACTTGCATCAGGTCTGACACATGCCTGCTCGTCTCATCCCTCGAGGATGAATGTGTTGCTTGACAGCACTTCGTTGTGTCAACACGCTTGCTCCCTTCTATGTGTTTACGCACTGAGCACGATGCCGACGGCCTGTTTTAGTAGTAATCCTTTTCCAGCCTGGTACGAGTTGCTTTGCACGTAAGGTTGGAGGCCTGAAACCTTATCCAGATCATGAGCTGGTCTTTACGGCGCAGCGAAGCACTTTGTCCCGCTTTGTCGAGGCGAGGAGATTGCGTGACTGCGTGCCTTGCGGTGTCTTTGAGGACTTGAGCTGCGCGGCCAACCGGGACCAAGGAAACCAAAGTGCCAGTTTGCTGTGCAGAGGCTGCCCCGCGCCTGCCACAGCGTGTGTCTTCCCGAACGTGTCCTGGGGAGAACATCTTGTGCCGAAATCGCCGCTAGGTGTAAAAAGCGGCTACTCGAAGGTGGTTCTGGCCACTCCATCACTCCTCCCTGTTCTGCGTGCCTGTCCGGCTCCGGACGATCGGGGCGCTGTGTCAGGAACTTTGGTGGTCGCAGTCCTGCTCGTGCTCGGCATCATGATGGCAGCTGGAGTGCTGGCGAGGAAGCGATTGGGCCGCGGTTGTCGCTGGAATTGCCGCCTGCGCCTTTGGGTAAGGCTATGCCGCAAGGATAGTCCCTTGGCCGTTCAGAAGCTGTCGCAGGTTTTTTGCAGTTTAGACGGAGAATTTGCATGGGTGCTTCGGATTCGGAACCGTCAAGAAGCGTAAGACACAGTGCATTGCTTTTCATGATCCATCTCATTGCCCAGTTTCGAGAAACCTTTGACCCCTTAAGCGCTACAGTACTCCGTTGAACATAGAAGGTTTCTACCAAGAGCGAAGATTCCATCTGTGCCTGCTGGTGGGGGCGGTCTTGCTGTCAGTTTGCGGACTTGTTTGGATGTGCTGCAATCCGTTGGTCGGGCAGTTGAGTCAGATGGTGGCCACCATGGACGTCAGCGGCTTCGACCTTGAAGGTGCCTCCCGCATCGTCGAAGCTTCCCACGTCCGTGGCACGTGGATTCTCTTCGGTTTCGCCGCTGTCCTCGCCGCCATCTCAGCACTCCGCATTCTCTGGCTGCACGTCCTGGTGCGGGTCGGCACCTCACCTCCCTCCGAGCCGCAGGATATCCCGGATCAGTTGACGGAGCACTGGAGGTCCTTGGTCATCTTCTTGCTCGCAGAGGGAGGCGCCGCTGTTTCTTACTTGGCCTTCGTCTTCTGGCAACGCGACTTCTCCGCTTTGTATGAGCGGCAGCAACATCGAGTTGGTGATCTCGGCATCCTGTCAGGCGCCACAGCATCGAGCGCCTCAGCCGTTTTTTGCATGAAGCTTTTGCTCAGCTGGCTTGCGCCTTTGCTGATCAACTCGCGGCTGTCAACCGGCACAGTGATCTGGGCAACATTTTGGTGCAGGGCAGCATCCTGCCACAGGGCCCATGGTGGCCGTGGACTTGAGACCACCGTGCTTGGCATCCTTCTCACTCAGGAAACCACTGCACTGATCTGGACCATTGCCTACTTTCATTCCGGCTACGCCTCTGCCATGCTACTGTGGTTTCTCGGATGCCCCTCATGCCATACCCAAAAGTTGCAGGCCTTTCCTTCCGCCCGCCTGCAGCAAAAAAGACAACCGATGAGGCTGGGGATGTTCAGCACCTTCCTGAACGGGTTTCTGTTCTGCTTGCTCGCGTTCGTCGCTCCGCACTGGCGCCCCTGGCCCTTGGCCATGGCTTTGGGATGCACCTGAGCCGCTGTTGGTTTAGGATCTCAGCAGGCTGCCTGCAGATCGAGGGTGACTTGTTCGTTTAGAGGTTTCAGGGTTTCTGTGAGAAGCTGGGGTTACGGGTTGAGGGGTGCAGATTTCACGTGCCAACTGCTTATACGCAGACTGCAGCACGTACAGGGTGCATTGTACCACCCCGTCCTTCAACAAGCCTCCTTACAGTAACAGTTTTTAAAGGTGTGGCTACTCTGCAGTTGCTTGTCAACGGCAAGATGGCATGGCTCGTGGTGGATGAATCCTCACTGGCTTTTCTCCTAACTTCCGGCATGGCGACTTTGTACTTCTCGTACTCAGCAGTGATGCTCCTGTCAGAGTTCCTCGGTGCAGGGTTTTGGATCGATTTTTGGTACAGGGTCTTGCGTAGATTTTGGTGTGTTTACGGCCCTAAACACTAAACTCCTCCGGCGGGAGCATCAGCGTTTGGGGATTTATGGTTTTAGGATTAAGGGCTTAGGGTATAGGGTTGAGGGATTTAGGGTTTCGGGTTAAGGGTTACTTGTAGGAATTTAGGGTTTAGGATTCCATAACACTAAGCTTCAAGCAGATAGCCCAGGTCAAAGGCCAGCGTGTCGACGGGGCGGCCCTTGCTTGAAGCTGACCAGCCTGTGGCTGCTTGTTGTAACTCTGTTCCCTAATGTGGCTTGAAGGTTTAGGATTTCGGGCTTCAGGGTTCAGGGTTGAGTCCTGACAAAATTTCTGTTGTTACCCATGGAAAATTGCGTGTGTTTGGGGCTCGTAGGGCTTGTCGCCTTGGAAATGCTAGTAGCGCAGGCCAGGGGCTTCTCTGACCAATAGACCCTCAAGCTGAGACACGAAACCCGAAACCCTAAACCCTCAACCCCTAAACCCTGAACCCTAAACCCGAAACACACCCTTGTGCCATATTTTGCTCACCGACGCAGCTTAAACGCAATCACCATGAACCCCCGACCCCTGAAGCCCTAAACCCCATAGACCCTAGGCCCACAAGCCCCAAAAATCCGAAGCCCCCTACCTTGTACAGCCCAACAGCGCCTGCTGAAGCTCGCAAAGACTGACGAGGCCTTGGGCAGCTCCCGAGTTGAGCTCGTTTCGGTCCTTGCGCCTCCCAGCTGATAGGGTTCAGGGTTCAGGGTTTGTTGTGATTTAGCGATAGGACCGATAGGAGCTGAGAAAGATACGTATCCTCCATTCATCGCATGGATTGCACCAAATGTGAAGTGCAGCTCTGGCCTGACTGTTGAAGGCCATCTCGCTTTCTCCCACCCCGCGCCGTCAAAGGCGGCACACCAGCCAAACCAACTTCTTTCAGGTTTTAGGCCACAGGAAAACATTCGTTTCTAAACACAAAAGGGCCATGCCACCAGCCCCAGCGTGGCATTGCCGAGCTGGCCCGCAAAATCCTGAGCCCCAAGAAGCCGAAGCCCCAAAATCTTGAACTCGAACAGCCAAGAAAACACCAAACTTTTCCCTAGACCTTCAATGAGCTGCGAAGGCTTCTCTGGCACTGGCTCCTGGAGAAGGACAGCCTGCGCGGGGGTTGGAATCTGCCGCAACTTTAGGCTAATTGTGCGAGGCTTGGTTAGGTGCTTGGGGCTGAGTGTTTCGCTCTGATTCTCTGATGGGCGACTTTCTCTCCCTGTGCAGATTTACTCTTTGCGTCGGGCCCAAGCTGATGGTCTTCCCAGCATCGGACTTAAAGCGACACCCTAGACATCCTAATTCCCATCATCTTTTGGCTCGCGCCATCTTGACCAGCTCAGCCCCGACGTGGGACCAGGGCTTAGCGTTTAGGAAGTTTTTTTTTTGCATCTTTGGCACGGGTGATTATCGTCATGATCACCAGTAGAGCCATGCTTATGAACTCCAGCCATGACCTTTTTAATTTTTTGTTCGTTTCCGTAACGAGGCAAATTCAAGGCGCATTTTTGCGTTTCCTCGAGGCAATGGCGGGTGCATGGAGAAACGGACCCACCATGATGCTCATGATGCGCTGGGGGCCCGCGCGCATCATGCGCATCAGAAGGTGTTGTGACCGCTGCTGATATTCATTTCCTGCTCTTGCCATAGTGACATGACATGCTCGCGTCGCCCGCCTTGAAGCAGGAAAAACGACGGCCGCCTTTGGCGGCGGAACGTGGCAAACCGCGGTACCTCGCCGACCTTCACTGCCGTGCCCGAGGACTGCCGCCGCGCTACGTGCCACCATTGAACACCTCCCGCAGCCGCCGACAAATGGGGCGAATACGCAGTTCCTGGCAAATCGGCGACCGCTCCCAGTGAAAGACCGACACTGTCTTATGTGTGCCTCAAACCCTGAGCCCCCGGGCCCCGACCTGAACCCTACCGAACTGCACAAGGGCAACGTGAACTGCTGCGTTTGCGTCCCGAGACCCTTGCAGCCCTCGACAGCCCGGTGTTTACCCCAGCCTCTGTCCTGAGGCGGGGAGGGGCACGGAAGGCATTGCCTGCCACTGTCATGTTCTGGATCCGCAAGTTCGGGGGCGGGAGGAGGGGGGGGAGGGGAAGGGCCCGGCGTTTTGATTTTCTGGGTCCGGAAAGCCGCGAAAAGGGCCCGAGAAGCGATCGCAATCGATTCGAGTCAGTGGTTGTCTTGTCTGTTCTTCTTCTTGTGGTGTGCTTGACGAACTCGTTAACACTGCAGGCCTCCAAGCCTGTCCGACATTTTGTAGAGCTTTCGTCCCCAAGTTTCCTTCGTGGGGTACTGAGTTTAAGGAGTCCTTGCTTGGGGCTTAGGGGGTATACAAAGCGGACCCCTGTTTGGGTATTTCTCAACATATGTGGTCTCCTATACCTTCGAGACAAGAGTCAAATCAGGGACTTCAACGGAAGGGATCCAAGATTTTGGAGAAAGACTCATTTCTACTCGAGGCCAAATGCCCTAGCCCTTGAAAGCCTTAAGCCCTACACCCAGACCATAAATTGCCCTAAACCCTAATCCCTAAATCCTGCACCCTACAACCCTAAACCCCCTGGGCCAAAAAGCCTCGGCCCTAAACCTCCCCTGACCTCTTATTGCCCTCAGCCCATGGCAGACCCCCCGTCCCAGGAGGAGGCTTCGGCTCCAAGCTTCGGCGCGCGCATCAAGTGGCGACGACTCTGCCCTTTGGTCGAATATGTTTTGTCCTTTGGGGGGGGTGGGGGGGGGTCGGGCGGGAGTGGGGGGGGAAAATTTGGGGGGGGGTGCTTAGAGTTTTTAGGTGTTTTGTGACAGTGTTCTGGTTTTGTACGGCGTAGGACTTGGGTGATCAGGGTGTAAGTTTTAGGGTTGGTCTGTTATTGTCTTGTAGGCTTTGGGATGTTGAGACCCCAAGCCCTACCCTGAAATCGTATATCCAAAAGCATGAGTATTCAGACCCTAAAACAAGAACTCAAAAACCCCGAAACCCCTAAAACCTTGACCTTGAACCCTGTCCGGACCCCAGGCTCTGAACCTTGGATTTACCGAGGCCTGTTCTTGGGCTCCTTTGGGCTCATGGTGGATCTCCAGAGAACGCTGAGGACCTGAGTTTTACGGTCTGGTGGTTTAGCGGTTTAGGGCTTAGGGTTTAGGGTTTTATGTTGTTCTTCTGAGGGTTAGACTTAAGTCTCCACATGGGGGGCCTCCTGGTTGTTTTCCCGGTCCTGTGTATAGCAGTGAGGGATCCCGGTCCGAGAAGTCCCTTCCGCCCTTTCCTCCTGCCCGCCACCCCCCCTCACTTACGGGACACCTTGCCCCAATGCTGTAGTCTATGCCATTCTGCCAACTCGGCGCCGTAAATCTTAGCCCCATAAAACCCCAAACCGAAACCCTTTAATGCACTTTCTCCTAACCATAAACCCACGAAAAACAATACTCACATAGTGGGGCGAGGTACATTAACTAGGATGGCTTGGCGCACGCCGCTTACACGTTTCCATTATATCAAAGTCAAGTTTATTTAATCGGTTTTTACTACACTGTTACTACTTACATGTTTGTTTCCCTTTTCATGAATACCTGACAGTACGTCATAGTATTTAATCATATCCTTCAGATACAGATTCATCATCGCATATGTAATCGGAACAATTTTTAGTTTCAGTTTTCAGCCGTTTGTGAAAATTTCACAGCACAATTAGCCAACTGTCTATTCGTTCAAGTAACACATAGTGACATAGGTATTTGTTGCATTTGTGTGCGTTGCCTGGTAATTCCAACTTACCAAAAATGCAACCATCCTCATGCCCTTTCATTAATTGCAGTTACAACATGTCTTTTCGTCACTCAGCTCTAATTTAGAATCTTTCAGGTTTATTATACCTAGGAAATCTTCGATAATTTACTCCTGCTCAAGTTCATTGAACATTTCCATGATCATGTATAAGGTGTTATGCTTTTAAGCCGTGTTGGTTAAGGTTCTTTTGCAACCCAAGTCACGACAAAAACACGTTTAAAGACAAACCGGGTTACACCGTCAATCATGGGAAGTTCGTTGTCCATCCAACAGACAAACACACAACCTTTAATCAAACCCTCCGCCAAAATTCATAACCTTATACATGTTCATCCTAAATTCAAGTTAGGTGAATGTATATTTGCAATTGATAACCCTGAACAATATACAAAGTTTTTGTTGAACACACCGTCCTTCACATCCGAACTGTACTTCTAGAAATTCACCTTGTTTACATCGGTGCTTCTCGTTATTGCCGTGTGAAGCCATTCCTTGGTGACCCTCCAATGGTGATACTCGAAGATCTTTATAAAGTGCTCTATGCTACTACCTTGGATGCTGTGGCAAGTGTAGCAATATGCGAAGGTACAGTGCTTCCTCAAAATATCCACCGGGACTTGTTGCGATTGCCTTTCCACCTCATTGCATAAAACCACCGTATCGCGATTTATGTTTTGGATGACATACCTGAAGTTCACAATTTAACTTATGAATCGTTGTTTTTACGTCAAGCCTATTGACCCCCTGGAACCCCAAACTTAAAACCCAAACTTACAGAAACAACCAACAAAACCAAAAAAAGCTACTAGACCATTGGTCTCAAATCAGCATCGTCGCAATCCATGCGATTGATCACTTCAGTCATTGGCATGTCATCACATTGATGTCATTTTCACGACCGTTGACATCACGAAAGAGTATCAGCACCATAGCCAACGCACGGAATGGAGGCTTGGATTTTGCGGTCAGAATGCCTATACAAAGCTGCGACAGTGACAACCTCAACGCATCACGGCAACGCGAAAGCCTTTTACAACGCATCGAACAATAACATGCTTCTTCACAAAGGTTTTCAGCACGAGGCATCGAAATATTGCCGCTGGCTTGTCGCATCGCTCATCAGCTCCTGCCACGAATTTTGGTTCAGAAGCAACAAAATGTAAAACAAAGCAGTCAAGTCAGACTTAATCACAGGTAAGTTGTTGTCCGTCCTGTTCTCGATGATCTGCTGGAAGAGCACATGTATGCGTCACATGTCAGGGAAAAAGAGAGTGTATAAGGCAGGTTGGTAAGGAAGCGGGGGTGTGATACACCAGTTGTTATTTTCTTGTTTTGTCCAGGTTTTTTTAGCATTGGTGAGCGACTGGACAACGGCACCGATTGGTACACTGGCGCTCACACTTACATGATGAGAAAACGAAACGGTCTTGACGGTCAAGTCAATGGTGGTCTCATCGAAAGCCGCAGCCTGAAGGCAAAGTTTATCGGATTTTGCATTCAAAGACGAAACGCAGAGAGCGAGAGAGACAGATATGTAACTGTTTTCTCTCATCCAAGTAGACGTCATGGAGATCACAAGGGGGCATAAGTTGGTGCTAATGCCCGAAGGCAAAACAAAAGAGCGGTTGCGAACATACATCAGGGTCCTCAAGAAAAAGTTTTTCACCGATCAGAGACATGCCAAGCACAACCAAGGCAACACTCGTTCATTCTTTTGCTATTTTTGCATCTCGCTACAACTTCATGTATCTTTTGAAACTTTCCTGGTTCTGGGTTTCATGCTTACCCGCCATGGTTTCTGCGGAGATCACGGCTTCATCGGTAGTGGTCTTCTTCGCAGTAGTTTGGATCTCTCCCAGTGTAGCTTCAAGGCTGGGGATACACAATACACAATGAAAGCTCCACGTGCTTATGTCGCAGACTCTCAAGCAAGGTCTTGATCTTGCCAGTGTTGCCTTCATTCAGTGTCGCATGAACCAAGGGGAGCAAATCGTTCTCGTAATCCATGGAATGCCCCGACATTGACGTGATACAACCCAATAAGGAAAGATTCGAGCAACAACTGCTACATACCAACCAATCAAAACACACGCCCCACACACACACACACAGTCTTGCAGGTTTTCAAGGCAAAGGCTTTTGACAAGGAGTTTAGGGAAGATCCTATGGAGGATGGGGCGAGGCGGGGATATCAAAATCAGGGATTTTAGGAAGGAACGTTGGGAATCGTAGGGTAGACCCTCGGGATAAAACGATAGAGGCGTTGGGGCGAAAGCTGGGACGTTACGGGAGGCTATCCCTCACTTTTTGCAAGCGTTGTGGTCGGTGGGTTTACAGCGTGTTATTTTATTAGTTGTTTTGACGGATCTTCCATGCGGTTCAATACTCGGGCGAAGGCCCATCACTTGCGTCACGCCAGTTATTGCGTGTTGGCAGTGCCAACCTGAGTGTCGATAGAGGACACTCCGCCCAAGAGATGCATGCCAGCTGTTACTATCTCCTGCGAAATCCCGTGGCCAAGCTCTTGGGAAGGAGCATGTTTTCAGTGCTTCAACGACCACCTACGAAAGGACTGATTTCGTATACATCGATCCCGTGGGAGTGGTCATGATGCTGGGTGAGAAGGGTCACAAATGCTACTTTTGAAATGCTGGTCAACCTTGACATTGTTCTCCACGCGAAGTACGTGCACAAGCTGACCAAGCAACGGCTTGATCCAACACGTGCTCCACATCCTGGTGCTCTTCATCATACAAGCGCTGCACAATGTCTTCATAGATCGGCCTGTGACTCAGGAGGAGTACAATGCGGTAGCAAGACCGGCAGAGCCAAAGGGACCACCGCCCAATCGTAGTGCTTCAGGGCGGAACAAGGGCAAGGGGAGAGGCAGAACGCAAGATCAACACGGCGAAGACCGTGAACGCGATCGTGAGTATCATCGACGCTGGGATCGTTAGCTCGCTGGGTGCTCTACTACCTCTCTGTCTTCCCCGTCTACTACACTTTGGTGACCACGGCATACATACAATGTCACACGCTGTTTCCTTCTTCAGTGGCATGATTTTCCCTTTCCAGTTCAGGGGATCGCCATTGACGCTGCCTCGTGTCACAAAGTCATTAGTTGGGAATATGAGCGCACACACATTACTTTCAGGTTGCCGCGGAGACACTTTACTTTTCATGGTCAAGTCGCGAGTCTCTTCCTATGTGAGCAAGACCGAAGGTCTAACCCATGGGGGGTGCGAACAGACCTCGATGCCTCGTGCAATTCGTGGTGTCGCTGCCTGGGCCGTATAAGAGTCCATCGCTGGGCTGCGTTGCAGACTGTGATTAACCAATGATCCAAATACTTTCCAAACTTCTCGTCTGCCTTGCAGAGAGTAGACAGGATGTGTTTCAATGCTCCGCTTACCGGCAACATTGGCTCAAGTGGGACTTGCAACTAAAACAGCTCAACATTCACAAGTACAGCTAGCAACTATTAGCATTCCTTTGATTCAGTCGTACATGTGTGTGTGTGCCTCCCCGCTGCATAGACCAGCAGTCTGCTAAGAGACAAAACAAGGGTCCACTGCGTGCTGCTACCGCAGGGGAGTGGGAAGATACGATCCTATCATCCAGATCTTATCAGGCCACCTCAACATCAACACTACGCTCGGTGAGGTGAGCTACAACGTATATACCCACAACAAACCCTCACGCAACAATAGATTACATTTAATATCAATTATTGTTGATGATTTCGTGGATTCGAAATCCTTCTCTCGTAGTAGTCCATTGTTGAATCAAGTATACGTGAGGGGGCGACATAATGCAATTCATATTGTTTCTTCTGCACAAAAAACTTAACGCACTGTCTCCAATCATTCGTGTCGATAGTCGTTATTCTTCTCTAGATTAAAGAGTTACAAAGAAATAGTAACACTGGTTGAAGAATTACGCGCCGCTGTAATTAAGAAGTCTTCTGTAGCAGATGCTCGAAATTTACGAGAAGCAACTACATTATAATTACAAGTCGATGTCACTGATATGTTTTACAGCGCTTTGATTCCAAATTAATTATTGTGCTGTCAGTCTGCCTATCTATTACTGGTGTGGTTCCTGCATCTCTAAAGCGCAAAATCAAGGTGAATCAACAAGTCATCGACCTTCAAAAAACGTGAAAAACAATTCTAAGATAGACGAAAAAACGTGGACAAAAGCAAAACGTGAAACACAACCTAAAAAAACATAATGAACTTAACACAAACTTGAAACAACGTAAAACAGTTAAAACAACAACTTAAAAAAAGCTTGAAAATGTGA